ATGTACACCAGGCTACCTGCATTCCTGACCCATTGAAAGCTATGGCCTTTGAATGATATCTTGATCATTATGTCATTAACCTCATACCTCGCCTGAAAAGTCAGATGTGTTTTCCAAATGGGAGCACTTCTACTGAAGCTTTGGATATAAATTAGCAGGAATTTAGATTATGTCACATTTTGGGCATAGGTAAGCAATGAAAAATGGAGAAGGGAAAAAAGAAGCCAAAATAAATTGGCTTATAGCAAAATAACGATCAGGAGATTAAAAAAAAAAGAAAGAAAGAAAAAAGGAAAGAAATGTACCAGAAAAAGTTGTGAAAAACGGTAGGAACCTGTTAGTGGGACATATGAGGCTCCTTAAAGGATATTTTTACATTTTCCAAATAACTTTCAGTTTACGGAAATGACTGAGTCCCTGTCTTATACCATCAGTGCAGGTTCTCATATCTTGTGTGTGAACAACTGAATTTCACAGCATCTTTTCCGATCCTTTGATCATCTGGTCCTACCCTGTGGGATCCCTTCTTTGTTCTCTGAAAGGTATTTCTTTATAAATAGCTACCGAGCTGCTTTCCTTGTGAACAAGAATGTACTATTCACACACTTAGTCAAAGGGTCGACTGGGTCCTTCCTTGCCACCTTCCCCGTTGGTGCATATGGTACACTTGCCCTCAACATATTTTATACTCAGATGACCATCAGTGCTATCCCCTGCTCCCACTTGTGACGACTGCCCTGCAAATGAGCAAAAAACAGTACCAGCTCAGGGGAAGAGTTGCTTTTGCTTGTTCTCAGTGAGAAGGTAGCAGCTACGTGGAGAAAGGAGCATCTGATTAGGCTCCTAATTAACATAAAAACCATCCTGCAAGAAACAGCCACAGCAGCAGCAACAAGCTGCTTGTCAGTTCTAGGCCAGGAATTCCAATTGCAATTTTGGTTGTTATGGAAACAGACCACACTGCTTCTTAAAGAATTCATTATTCCAATAAATATTTGTTGTTCTAGTCATTAAGTAGTACCCAAACGAATGATGTAGACACAAGGGAGGAGGAGCACAGAGGAGGAAGGCTGGTGATTACAGCAGACTTGTCAGAGAGCTAGAACTTAACCCTGACCTTGGGGCATGATTAGTAGGGGAGAAGGCATTTTGAGTGAAAGGGCTGGCAAAGTACAACATGCTCAAGAGATAATAAGGATGCAGGCGTGGTTGGAGCCAAAGATTGACATGGGAGTATGGTGGGAAATGGGAAAGACACACTGAGGCAGGCAGCAGAGAGCTTTGAAGGCCAGTCTAAGGAGTTTGGACATTTCTGTTGACAAAAAGGAGCTGATGGATATGTTAAAATGGGAAAGAATGGTTCAGGTGTATTAAGACAAATAGTGAGGGCATTAACCTAGACTCTGGCTGACACTGCAGCTCCAGTGTAGTTCAGGTAGGTGCCAAGACCATAATTTAAAAAGTGAAAGAAAGTTCAGTCATCTCAGAGAAAACCACTGTTTCACTGAAAGAAACTGACTTTTATTTATTAAAACTCATCAAAACAGGCCAGGCATGGTGGCTCATGCCTGTAATCCCAGCACGTTAGGAGGCCGAGGTGGGCGGATCACAAGGTCAGGAGTTTGAAACCAGCCTGACCAACATGGTGAAACCCCGCCTCTACTAGAAATACAAAAACAAACAAGCAAACAAACAAAAAAACCTCATCAAAACAGCTATGGGTGTGTCTATGACATCTGGAATATTTTTATAAGGTTTAAATTGGCATACAATAAAGCAGTCCCAAAATACCATTCTGCCACCTGTCAAGGAAGTATTTGGAACTAAAGCTTTAATTCTCAGAGTCCAGTACATACACTAGAGGAAGAGCAGTCATTTCCCCCTGTATCACAGTGGCTTTATACCTCTACTGCCCAAGCTAAAATCTGTTTCAATTTTGTTTTTGTTTTTGAGATGGAGTCTCACTCTGTCATTAGGCTGGAGTATAGTGGCATGATCTCAGCTCACTGCAACATCCAACTCTGAGATTAAAGTGATTATCTTGCCTCAGCGTCCCAAGTAGCTGAGACTACAGGTGTGCGCCACCATGCCCACCTAATTTTTGTATTTTTAGTAGAGATGGGGTTTCACCAGGTTGGCCAGGATGGTCTCGATCCCTCGACCTTGTGATTCACCAGCCTGGGCCTCCCAAAGTGCTGGGATTACAGGTGTGAGCTATCATACCCAGCCTGAAATCTCTTTTACAAGAGTAGTGACTGATCAGTAAATTAAAATACAGGAGAGTTTGGTTAGCTAGAAGAAAAATCTTCTGCTCAGTGCAGCAGTTCTTAGAGTGTATTCTGTGGACCCTTGGAGGTCTCGAGCTTTGTCTAATTCCAAAGTTCTTAAACTATGCTGTTTGACCTTCTGAAGGGCACAGGACTTAGTAATAGGTGTGAGTGAGGTCTTTAGCTATGCCTAGAGAGAGATAAGTGCATTTGACAATACCTTTCACAGTTCAACTATGAGTGCTAAACAATGGATAAATCTGAAGTAATATTACTGCTAAAGACAGTAACAACGACCATAAAACATACTGTATTATTTTTAGAAGCTTCTTTGGATCACATTATTAAAAACACAGATTTCTATGTGATAATAAAGGGCTCTCTGATGGTTAATACTGAGTGTCAACTTGACTGGATTGAAGGATACAAGGTATTTATCTGGGGTATGTCTGTGAGGGTGTTGCCAAAAGAGATGAACATTTGAGTCAGTGGGCTGGGGAAGGCAGCTCCACCCTTAATCTGGTGGGCGCAATTTAATCAGCTGCCAGCAAATACAAAGCAGGCAGAAAAATGTGAAAAGGAGAGACTATCCCAGCCTCCCAGGCTACATCTTTCTCCTTTCTCCTAGAATAGGAAGCTAGATGCTTCCTGTTCTCAAACTCTAAGTTCTTCAGTTTTGGGACTCGGACTGGCTCTCCTTGCTCCTCACCTTACAGAAAGCCTATTTTGGGACCTTGTGATCACATAGGTTAATACTTAATAAACTCTTCACATACACACACACACACACACACACACACAAACACACACACACACACACACACATATATATATATATATATGAACCCTAATACCCTCTAGAGAACCCTGACTTATACAGGCTCCTACTTTGAATTCCTAGCTGTCAAGTTTAAAGAGTCTCCCCTTTTCCTAACTTGGCTACTAATATATAAAATGAATAGAAAATATAAGACACTGTGTATGATCTGAATGCCAAGAAAATTGATTATTAAAATTAAGGTGGAAAAGGTAATTTTAGTAATCTACAGCACAACTGATTTCCCTTTACAATTATGACATTGGGTTACTCTTCCATAGGAGATATAAGCAATATAGGGAAAAAAAGTAAATTAAGTGTGGAAAGAGTCCATCCAGTTCCTAAGGTTAAGGTCAACTAGAGTTAAGCAGTTGACAAGTGGACCTAAGGTAGGTCTCAAGAATTCCCATTGCTTCACACATACATATGTGTCACACATACATATTGCCTCCTCTCACCTCCCATTCATCCTTTCACTAGCTCCATCTCTCTTTTTATCTCTCTGCTTAAATGTTACACTCTTAGGGAAGCCTTCCTGGTGACCCTATCTAAAGTAATCACCTAATTTTACTCCAAATACTTGACACAGATTGTTCTCTATTTCAGCTCTTTGGTTCCTTCCTAGCACTTTTCAAGGGTAATGACATATTCATTATTCTCTTAATCTAAGATGGCAGCTCTGTGAACCCCCACTGCCCAGCACGGGTCCAATAGTCAGTAAGCATGTGTCAGATGGCTGAATACATGAGACAGTTTGCATTCAGGTTAACAACCAACACAACTGAGTGGGGGAGGAGGGAGAACCCGAGTGAGGAACTACAGTCAGAGACCCTGGTCCCCTCCCTGCTCCAATTAACTGAATAACCGTGATCAAACCCCTTAACTTCTCTGGGCCTCAGTTTCCTCATCTGACAATGAGGGAGCTTTACTCAGAGATTTCTAAAGAATCACTCTGATTTTAACCAGGAATCTAGGTTTATCTGATTATATTTCTGTGGTGTTGACAGCCATTCTTTTCCCACTCATTGAGGAGGTGTGGACCTTTTCATTATTTCTGAGTATAAATAGACATTTTCTGGAAAGTGTACAGGTAGGTGTACTCATTTGTTGAGGGACTTGAATGATTAGAGGAAAAAATACTAAGTTTTGAAAGGACAATATTTGTCCTTTTTTGGCACATTTTTAACTACTGTACAACAGTTCCTTTTATTTCCATGAGGAAAACTAGAAATCTGGCTTTCACGCACTCATTAGCTTCGTAATCTTGGACAAGTTCCTTAACCTTGCAGAGTCTCAGTTTTCTTGTCTACGAAATGGATATGTAACAGGAATAGACTAGCTAATGGAATTGTATAAGGATTAAATGAGATAATCTGGGGCATAGTGGGCACTCAGAAAATGTTGGTAAACCTCAAAGGCATTTTCTCCCACAATTAATCCATCAGTAAGTTTCACTGTACTAGAGCAAAGAGCAAATTAGACAGTTTTTACTGTTTGCTTTGGAGAATATAGGGTCTGGCTATTGAGGTATATTTGAACATGTGGCAATTGATGCGTTCAGCTTAGGAAGGAGGGGTCAGTGTTCAAACAGAAAAGATGTGTGTTAGATTTTTATTTTTTTTGTGTGTTAGATTTTTAACACATGACAATCTCTTACCCTTTTAATGCACTTTGTTATTGTACAGCTAAACTTGAAAGTTTGACATTCCATCAAGTCCTACATTTTCAGCATAGATGCAAATCCCAAAGAAATATAAAACTGCATACGTGAAAGCAATAACCTGGAAAACTTGGGAGTATTTTTTGACCAAAAAGGAGAAAAGACTTCAAAACAGGGTGAGAAATAAGTCTTTTTCATTACCAAATTCTTATTATTAGCAATTGTATTGTTAGAAAATGCAAGGGCTATTACTCACCAATCATGAAAATAACTTTACATTTTCTCAAATCTTCCATGAAACCTTTAAAATAAGAATAACTTAAGTTACTGGCAAGAAAAACGGTATTGAAGTCCTGGTTTTACTCATGTTATATAAAAACCCAAACCTTGTAGTTTTATTTGATAAAAAGCTTGAAGTTGAATAAATGTGTGTAGAGGCTACAATTAGTAGGCACCGATGAGACCATTTCAGCCTTTGTTTGTTTGTTTTTTGAGACAGTCTCACTCTGTTGTCCAGGCTGGAGTGTAGTGGCTTGATCTTGGCTCATGGCAACCTCTGCCTCCTGGGTTCAAGCCATTCTCCTGTCTCAGGGTCCCAAATAGCTGGGATTACAGGCATGCTTTTTGTATTTTATCAGCTGCTTTTTGTATTTTTAGTAGAGAGGGGCCAGGCTGGTCTTGAACTCCTGGCCTCAAGTGATCCACCTGCCTCGGCTTTCCAAAGTGCTGGGATTGCAGGCGTGAGCCACAACAGCCTGCCCATTTCAGTCTTATCCCCCGACCCAGGTAATGCATTTTTATTTTAACACACATGATCAACTTTTGCTGGCAAAAATTTATGTCATTAAATAGCATGAATCACAAAGAAAGCTATTTTTAAAAATTACTTTTAAATCATCCTAACTCTCTTACTTTGGTGTTATTTCACATTTAAAATATTTGCTAAGCTTCCTTTTAATGAAGATGGTTAAAACACAAGTAGAGTATATGGAAAATGATATTTTAAAAAATAGCTTCTGCTTAGAGCAAATAATGTTATTTTCTATTCAAGGTAGTAATATAAAATTTCCTTTTAAAATAAATGTATTTGAGTAACGACACTTCACGTTTTCTGTAGATAACTACTTTTGAAAGTCAGATCATTATTCTGACAGGAAACATTTTTTAGTGAAATTGGGGTAGTTCATTTATATGCACAATACCACATTTTGGAGGAATTCACAATTAGCTGAGTGAAAGCCCCAACTCTACCAGAGAAAGAGAGAATGGGGCATGATGCACTGGGTTGGGGACAAAGAGAGGAGAAAAAGCTGGAAATAGAGGAAAGAAGTAAGTTTGGGGTTGTTGAAGCCATATGGTTTTCATAACAAAAAACAAACAAAAAAAGAATTTTTAAAATCAAATCCAGTCTCTTTACAGAATAGTCCATGGTGACAGGAAACATCTTACATTGCTTGAAGTTTTCTATTAAAGGCAGATACATTCGTGTTTCTAACATTTGGGACCAGATGGTCATCTCAGACTAGCCTGTGAGTTTACGTTTATGAAGCTGAGGAACTCTGAATCTATTTGCAATCCAGGAAAATGGCCATGGTTATTAGTGTGGTTTTTTTTTTTTTTGGTATAATTGTATCCTATTTCAGTTTTATAAAATATAACTATTTTAAATTTATGATGGCACATAAAATTCATCTAATGTAGTCATTACAAATTAAGTACATAGTTTTTAATGATATGGGAACATTTTTGTTTTTTGAGATGGACTCTTGCTCTGCCACCAGGCTGGAGTGCAGTGGTACGATCTCAGCTCACTACAACCTTTGCCTCCTGGGTTCAAACGATTCTCCTGCCTCAACCTCCTGAGTAGCTGGGACTACAGGTGTGCACAACCACACCCAGCTAATTTTTGTATTTTCAGTAGAGATGGGGTTTCATCATGTTGGCCAGGATGGCCTCGATCTCTTGACCTTGTGATCTGCCTACCTCAGGCTCCCAAAGTGCTGGGATTACAGGTGTGAGCCACCACACCCAGCTGGGACATGTTTACGCTGTGATATATACAAAATATTTGGAGATACTTATATATACACATGTATTCTCAACCATGTAAAAATAGATATATAGGGCCGGGCGCGGTGGCTCAAGCCTATAATCCCAGCACTTTGGGAGGCCGAGGCGGGCAGATCACGAGGTCAACAGATCGAGACCATCCTGGCCAACATGGTGAAACCCCATCTCTACTAAAAATACAAAAATTAGCTGGGCGTGGTGGCATGTGCCTGCAGGCCCAGATACTTGGGAGGCTGAGGCAGGAGAATTGCTTGAACCCGGGAGGCAGAGGTTGCAGTGAGCCGAAATTGTGCCACTGTACTCCAGCCTGGCGCCTGGCGCCTGGCGCCTGGCACCAGAGTGAGACTCTGTCTCAAAAAAAAAAAAAAAAAATAGATATATAGGCAATGCATTGGAATGAAATGTACTACAATGTTAACCATGATAATTTATAAGTCATACGGTTTTAAATGGCTTTTATTTTATACCTTAAAAAATTTCTACAGTGAGTATGTGTTAATTTTTATAACCAGAAAAAAATGGGAATATTTATTAGGCAATCAGTCATCCCCTATCCAGTTGAGACGAAGCTGATTGTTTGCACCTGGCTAAGTGACAGCTAAGTTATGGCTCATATTTTTATACCTCTCCCCATGAATCACCATGATGTCATTTGGTGACTGTGATTTTCACATACTGCTCTTGCCATTATCATCAAACAACATTTCACCTTCCATCTTGTGCTCATGGATCTTTGCAGGATTAGAGCTGGGGTTATTTAAAAAGCCAAACCGCTTATTTGTATGTGTTTAGGATCAATACTATAAACATATTTCTATGACCCATATAATAACTTTTATTACAGTGTAGAAATATTAGAAGGTATTTTTACTTAGGACAATTATGAACCTTATCTTTTTTGGAAAGTCCCAAATTCACACAATCCTATCATTTTCCATTACAGGCATGGATAGTTATGGGTGGATTTTTTACTTTTTTGCAAGACTTTTTTTTTTTTTTTTTGAGATGGAGTCTCACTCTGTCACCCACGCTGGAGTGCAATGATAGAATCTCCGCTCATTGCAACCTCATAGTCCTGAGTTCAAGCAATTCTCCTGCCTCAGCCTCCCAAGTGGCTGGGATTGCAAGTATGTGCCGCCACCCCTGTCTAAATTTTTTTGTATTTTTAGTAGAGACAGGGTTTTACCATATTGGCCAGGCTGATCTTGAATTCCTTAACCTCCCAAAGTGCTGGGATTACAGGCATAAGCCACTGATCCTGGCCATTTGCCAAACTTATAATATGACAAAAATTACAAAACACTATAATCCTGGTGTAGGGTAGGTTTGGTCCCAAAGGTACACTGCAGGATAGTAACTGCCATGCAGGAAAAAGTGTTTTGTGGTTCAATTATGTTTAAAGAATGTTGAATTAAAGTTTGACAATTCTTTTTACTGCAGGACTTGTGTGGGAGCTTTGGATGCTATTATATACTTGAATCTTCCAGTGGGGACCTGATGTTAAGCATGTTTCTAAGATATTTGAAGACAGCATCCTATTTTTGCTGAGCCTCTCGGGAGTCATGGGCAGTTGGGAAATGCATCTCTTAGTAATGCACCCCTTTGGTTCTTTACACGGATAGAGGCAGACCCAAAGAGTTCCCCAAGAGTTCTATTCTTAGTCATGCTCCCTGTCTAAGGGAAAAGTACATGCTGTAATATTTTATCTTTTGGTTGGTGTTTAATTAAAAAGGAATGGTCAAAGCTACTAAAATGACAACTTTCATCTGATCAGTAAGGAAAACTCACCTCCCATAGTGTCCTCTCCAAATACATTTAACTGGTCATCACCCTGTTAAAAAAAATCACAATATTAGATAATAATAACAGCAGGTATTGTGCTAAACTCCTTGGCAACATGGCATACTTGAACTTCTAAACAACTGTAAGAGGGAGGCATTTCCAAACAATTTTATGAGGGACAACATTTTACAGATGAAGACACTGAGAATTTTACTTGCCAAAGGTGACAGGGTAATGAAGGACAGAGCTCAGATTTAAGCCCGGATCATCTGTCCTGAGTACATGCCCTCTTCTTAACCAGTACAGTATTTCCCCTCTTTTTTTTTTCTTTCAAGTGCAAAATCTATCTGCGGACAGGAAAGCTGACTTCAAGAAGACAAAATCCTTTTAACTCCAAATTTTAAAGCTGGGTTTGGCAACCATTTTCTGTAAAGGGCCAGAGAGTAACTACTTTCATCGTCGTGAGCCATGTGGCCCCTGTAGCAACTACTATTTTTTTTTTAAAGGAGTCTCGCCCTGTTGCCCAGGCTGGAGTGCAGTGGTGCAATCTCGGCTCACTGCAACGTCCACCTCCTCAGTTCAAGTGATTTGGGCCTCAGTCTTTCTAGTAGCTGGGATTACAGGCATGTGCCACAGCTCTGGGCTAATTTTTGTATTTTTAGTAGAGGCAGGGTTTCACCATATTGGCCAGGCAAGGGATCTGCCTACCTTGGCTGGGCTTACAGGTGTGAGTCACCATGCCCAGCACCTACAGGGCAACTATTTAACCATAATTTGCCAATCCCTGAACCAAAGCATGAAATAAAGGAAGTTGGAGTGATCAACTTTTATTGATGCCTACTACCTTTAAATTTTTCATTTGATTTTTTAATCTAACAGATGCTCTATTCCTTATGGAATAGCCCATGGTGGTTGGAAAAAAAATTCAGAAAAAAAATGTATAAAAAGGCACTAAGTGAGAACTTTCACTCTCAACTACATCTTCATCTGTATCATTTCTCCACTGTCACCCATTATACGTAATCACTTATAGAGAGTTTTCTTGAGGCACATAAAAATGACTTCTAGATATCCAGGGATACATGTGAACATAAGTAGATATTATGATCTCCATTTCTCACATAAAAGCATTATAATTTTATCATACATACATATATGTTTATGATATAATACTATTCCATTATACACTGCTCCTCCACTTGCTTTTTCTCTGATCAATGTATCCTGGAGAAATTTCCCAATAAGTACAGAATGTTGTCAGTATCAAGTATCATCAGTTGCACCATATTCTCTTGTATGTACGGTACCATAACTGTTTTTGTTTAATTAGTTCTTTATTGATGGATCAATGAGTTGTTTCCAGCCTTGGACTTTTTTTTTTTTGGAAAAAGTGGCACAGTGAATAAATTTGCATAAATATCATTTCATACTGCAGGCTAAGTTTTGAGGGAGGGGACTGCATGGCCAAAGAGTAAATGTATTTATAATTTTGATAGAATTTTGCCAAACTGCTCCCCACAGAGGTTGTCCCATTTTGCAGGGACAGCTTCTGGCTGGTGCTTTACACCAGCCTCTTGCCTCTAATTCACTTTGATGCCTGAGTCAGTCAAATGAGGTTGTCTTGTTGTATTAACACTCCCTTGAGGTAAACTGCCCTCAAAACGCTTTGTTTAAAGACAGTCTTGCCATCCTGTTTAGAATATATGCCTTCAGGGGAATTTTACTGCTCTTCTTAGATTTGCCTGTGCATCCAGAGCTATTCCAGGTAGAGAAGAGCTTTGAATGGAGTGATCATTCAGGGACAGATTTACATTAATGAATTTTCTTCTGTGAATAGAAAAAAACATCGATTATTCCTCAACAAGCCTCTCCACCACTTCCCTTGTTGAAATCATTGCATTTCAGAGCTTAGGGTATGGGGATCACCTAATCCAATCCTGCCACACACTTTCCCATTTTTCAGATGAGGAAACTGATGTTCAGAGAGGTCATGTGAGGGGCCCATGGCCATGCCATCATGTCCTTAGTGAGGTCAGGATGGGATGAGAACCACTTCTTTTACCACTTTACACGTCTCCTATGGATTTGGTCTCATCAGTGTAGGGGCGTCCCCTCCCCTCTGCTCTTCTGGCCAGGTCCCTATCCACCGAACTGCTGCTAATGGCCCACTGCAGTCTAGCTCCCTGCCACAAGATGGGATGAATCCATGGTGCAGGCTGGGCCCCAGAGCTCACTGCGGTCTCAGGCTGAGGTTAGGATGAAGCCAGGACCACATCTTTGCTTAGCTCTTACCCCTGCACTATACTACTTCTCCTCAGAGGGCTCCCTAATAATGCACTTGCAGGAGAAGTCTCATCTCAGGCTCTGCTTCGAGAGAAAAAACATCAATTACTTCTCAAGACAGGGACCTTGAGGAGTTCCCAAATTCTCAGGGAATTCTGGATTCAAGACAGGGACTTATTTGAAGCAATTAATAAGTTTGCTTAAGGTGCAGCTGCATAGAGGAGGCTCAGGACAGTTTCCTGGAAAAGGACTGTTTAATCTAAATTTGCCTATTGTTTGTCAAACAGCTATTGAGTATATCTAGGTAATGTTGAGAGGAAATCATTGAGTCCTCTCCCTCAATTTTTAATATTATTGTTAGATCATTAGACTTATAGCCACCTTATGGACTAAGCTGTATTAGATCTTTCTTGTACATGACTATCATGTCTGGAGAGTTCAATTGTGGTTACTCTGAATTCCTAAAACAATGCATCCCACTATAAAAGGGCCCATCTGACCTCTGCCAGGCTTCTTGAGTCCAACCTATTTGTATCCATAGCTCTTGTTCACAGCCTTCTATTACACTTGCTCAAATGCCTCACATAAGCCCCATCTTTATTTTCATTAATTCATCAATAGTGAACAGGCTGCTGGGACATGGATGCAACTGTCATTAGTTCTCACCAGGGATGTGGTACATGGACATGAAAGCCCAGGTGACTGGGATGTTTGATTGGAGGGTATCATTTTCCAAAGACTCTCAATAAGTCTCATGGTTCCAATGTGAATATTTTATAAATAAAATTAATCTGGCATCACACACACACACTAGGAGTGAATGGGAAACACTTCTGGTTTTGGTGAAAAAGATACCAAACGGCCCCTGTAAGCACTAAATCTTGTTACTTTTTGAATGTTGGGTGTGTTCTGAATGAAAGGCATTAATTTCAGAATGTCCCTTGGAGGGGGTAGCCTTATTCAGGAGACATCTGATAAGCTGTTTGTGCCAAGTTGCCTTGGAGCTTCCTCTTCAATGAGGCATCACTTGAGAAGACTCAACCCATTAGCCACCAATCGGAGTGCCTGTGGGTGGCTATTTGTGTTCCAGCCTTTTTCTGCATTAAGACTCCATCTAGTCCATCCTTTGTCACCTTAATGAAGTTAGGCTTTGTGTGTACAATGGGACACAGGTGACTTTTCATAGTATTAAACTAGGTTTTGGGGTACATGAAGTGGGATACTGAATCTTCTGAACCGACAAGGAGAGAGAATATGAATATAGTCACAGATTTGATGTAAGTGTCCTTTATGACTCGCAAGTATGAGGCCCAGGCATAGCCTACAATGCTGTGATTAATACTGTGAAGGTGGGAGAAGCTGCAGCAAAGCCACTAACACCAAAAGACAATTTCAGGTGCTACATCATTTTGACGCTATAGATTGGGTTAATACGTTGGTAACTGATGAGGAGAAATCTGTAATTCTATTGAAGGGACACATTTAAAACCTCAAAATGGGCTTAGAGGCTATGGGAAACTGCAGATTTGGATTACAGACTTGCTTTGGTCTCTATCCCTCATCTTCCAGTCAACCAAGACTCATTAGGAGGGCAAAAGGAACCTACATTCAACTATATTTCCCTGTGTAGATGTGTATACAAAAAACCTCCTTTGGTAAGGCTGGGTACAGGTACTATCACTTGTAGGAAGAGTGGCTAACTGGGGGTGTGTATGTGCTTTCCTTTAGGATCAGGGTGCCTATCGTCACTACCTTACAATATGCATGGCCAGTCGTTCCTACTTCCTTGAATTATTGAATTCTAAATGAGGGAGATCAAAGTAGAACAACTTAGTCTCACAGGTGGGTTCACCAATCTTAAGAAACTACCTTCTTCAACCTGCTTTGATTATAGCACAGTGATTGCTCCTGGTGACAGAACCAATTTCATGTGGCATTGCCACAAGCAGATTATATTAGTCTGCTTTTATGCAGTTGATAAAGACATCCCCGAGATTAGGCAATTTACAAAAAAAAGAGGTTTAAAGAACTCACGTTCCACGTGGCTGGGAAGCCTTACAATTATGGCAGAAGGGAAGGAGGAGCAAGTCACATCTTACATGGATGGCGGCGGGCAAAGAAAGAGCTTGTGCAGATAACACACACACACACATACACACACACACTAAAAAGAGCAATCAAAAAGGGATCAGGCTATTTGCCCATCCTTTTACCTGAAAATGACTTTTTTTTGCACTTTTCTTATACCTGTTTTTTTTTTTAAGCAGCAAAATACTTTACACATTAAACAATTTTACAAAATGATGACTGGAACTATTATTTCAGTAGTACTTAGAGTATTTTCAGTATGTGCAGTTTCATCTGATCTCAGAAAAAAACTAGGAGGTAGGCAAGTTTGATGTTCCCCATTTTTCAGATGAGGAAACTGAAGCTCAGAAAGCTTATGCAACTTGGGCAGGATGCCCCAGTGGGTTGGGCTTCCTGATTCCCAAGACCATGTTCTGCCTTCCTCCTGCTGACCTGGATGGAGTGAGATGACACATCCATGTATCAAGTGCAGAACGACAGGGTATAGTAAGCCGGGGGTCGGAGGGGGTATCTCCAGAAATGCTCCTGGTGTCATATGAATAGAGACGAAGATGGATTCATTTGCTAAAAGTGGAGCTGAAGCTGGATCATGCTTAACCAATGATATGAAAATAAATTTTACAGGTTTTACTGGTAAACTGTGAATGGAGTTTTGAAATCCCTTGGAGCTTCAGCAGG